TGATGCCATCCTTTATTATACAGGGTTCTTTTGGCTATCCTGGTCTTTAGTTTTTCCATATAAAGTTGAGTATTGTTCTTTCAAGGTCTGTGAAGAATTGTGCTGCTATTTTGTTAGGGATTGCATTGAATCTGTAGATTGCTTTTGGCAAGATTGCCATTTTTACTATCTTGATCTTACCTATCCAAGAGCATGGGAGATTTTTCCATTTTCTGGTATCTTTTTTAATTTCTTTCTTTTTAACTCAAAATTCTTGCTGTACAGGTCTTTCACATGTTTGGTTAGTGTTACCCCAAGATATTTTATGTTGCTTGTGGCTATTGTAAAGGGTGATGTTTCTCTGATTTCTTTCTCAGCCCATTTATCATCTGTATATAGTAGGGCTACTGATTCTTTTGAGTTAATCTTGTATTCTGTCACTTTTCTGAAGGTGTTTATCAGCTGTAGGAGTTCCCTGGTAGAGTTTTTTGGGTCGCTTATGTAAATTATCACATCATTTGTAAATAGTGAAAGTTTGACTTCTTTTCCAACTTGTATCCCCTTGAACTCCTTTTGTTGTCTTATTGCTCTAGTTAGAAATTCTAGTGCAATATTAAAGAGGTATGGAGTGGACAGCCTTGTCTTGTCCTTATTTTAGAGGAATCACATTGAGTTTTTCTCCATTTAGTTTGATGTTGGCTATTGGTTTGGTGTATATTGCTTTTATTATGTTTAGGTATGTTCCTGTTATCACTGATCTCTCCAAGACCTTTAACATGAAGGTGTGTTGGATTTTGTCAAAGGCTTTTTCAGCATCTAGTGAGATGATCATATGGTTTTCCTTTTCCAGTTTGTTCATATGGTGGATGACATTGATGGATTTTCATATGTTGAGCCATACCCTGCATCCCTGTGATGAAGCCTACTTGATTACGTTGAATGATTTTCTTCTGATGTGTTCTCGGATTCGATTTGCGAGTATTTTTTTTTTGGGGGGGGGTGTTTTGAGACAGGGTTTCCCTGTGGCTTTGGAGGCTGTCCTGGAACTAGCTCTTGTAAACCAGGCTGGTCTCGAACTCACAGAGATCCGCCTGCCTCTGCCTTCCAAGTGCTGGGATTAAAGGCATGAGCCACCACTGCCCGGCTGATTTTCGAGTATTTTATTGAATATTTTTGTATCAATGTTCATGAGGAATATTGGTCTGTAGTTCTCTTTCCTAGTCGTGTCTTTGTGTGTCTTTGGGTACCAAGGTAATTATAACCTTATAAAGAGTTTAGCAATGACCCTTCTGCTTTTCTATTGCATGGAATACTTTGAGGAGAATTGGTATTAGCTGTTCGTTGAATTTCTGGTTGAATTCTACACTGAAACCCTCTGGCCCTGGGCTATTTTTGTTTGGGAGACTTTTGATGACTGCTTCTATTTATTTAGGGGTTATTTAACTTGCTTGTCTGTTATTGATATAATTTTAATAAGTGATGTATATCCAGAAAACTGTCCACTTCCTTTAGATTTTTGAATTTTTGTGGAGTACAGATTTTCAAAATATGACCTGATGATTTGCTGAATTTCCTCAGTGTGTTTTGTTATATCCCCCTTTTCATTTCTGGTTTTGTTAATTGCATATTCATTCTCTGCTGTCTGGTAAGTTTGGATAAAGGTTTGTCTATCTTGTTGATTTTCTTAAAGAACAAAGTCTTTTTTACATTGGTTCTTCATATTGTTTTCCTAGTTTCTACTTTACTGATTTCAGTCCTCATTTTGATTATTCACTGTCATCTACTCCTCCAGAGTGAGTTTGCTTCTTTTTGTTCTAGAGCTTTCAGTTGTGCTGTTACTTCTCTAGTGTGACTATTCTCCAGTTTCTTTATGTGGGCACTTAGTGCTATGAACTTTCCTCTTAGCACTTCTTTCACAGAGTTCCTGTAATTTTTGGTATGTTGTGTCTTCATTCTAATTGAATTTTAGGATGACTTTAATTTCTTTTTTTATTTCTTCCTTGACCCAGGAATGATGCAACTGTGCATTGTTCAATTTTCATGAGTTTGTAGGTTTTCTGCAAATCGTGTTGTTGTTGAATTCTAACTTTAAAGCATGGTGTTCTGATAAGATACAGGGGGTTATTCTAATTTTTTTTGTATCTGTGGAAGTTTACTATGTAGCCAAGTATGTGATTGATTTTAGAGAAGGTTCCATGTGGCACTGAGAAAAAGCTATATTCTTTTGTGTTTGGATGGAATGTTCTATAGATGTCTGTTAAACCCAGTTGGGTCATAACTTCTATTAGTTCCTATGTTTCTTTGTTAATTTTTTGTCTGGTGGTCCTGTCTAGTGGTAACAGTGGGATGTTGAAATCTTCCACTATAAGTGTGTGATGTTTTATGTGTGATTTAAGTTTTAGTAATGTTTCTTTTACGAATGTGGATGCCTTTGTATTTGGGGCATAGATGTTCAGAATTGAGACTTCATCTTGATGGATTTCTCCTGTGATGAATATGAAATGACTTCCTTCATCTCTTTTGATTGTTTTTAGTTTAAAGTCTAATTTGTTAAATATTAGAATAGCTACCCCAGTTTGTTTCTTGAGTCCATTTTATTGGAAAATGTTTTCCCAATCCTTACCTCTGAGATACCACCTATCTTTGAAGTTGAGGTGTTTTTTGGATGCAGCAGAAGAATGGATTCTGTCTTTGCATGCATTCTGTTAGCCTGTGTCTTTTTATAGGCAAGTTAAGACCACTGATATTGAGGGATATTAATGAATATCGTTTGTTCATTCTTACTTGTTTTGGATTTGTTGTTGTTGGTATTGTGTGTGGACTTCCACCCCTTTTTTCTTTTGGCTGTTGATAAAGTAGGATTATCTATTGCCTATGTTTTTGTGTGTGTAGTTAACTTCCTTGGGTTGGAGTTTTCCTTCCAGAACATTCTGTAAGGCTGGATTATTGGGTATGTATTGTTTAAATGTGATTTTGCCATGGAATATCTTGTTTTCTCCATGTATAGTGATTAAATACTTTGCCGGTTATAGTAGTCTGGGCTGGCATCTGTGGTCACTTAGTGTTGGTAGAATATCTATTTAGGACCTTCTGGGTTTCAGAGTTTCTATGGAGAAGTCAGGTGTAATTTTGATAGGTTTTCCTTTATATGTTACTTCACCTTTTTTCTTTGCTGCTCTTATTATTCGTTATTCTATGTGTTTGGGGGTTTGATTATTTTGTGGTGAGGGGACCTTTTTGTGGTCCACTCTATTTAGTGTTCTGTATGCTTCTTGTACTTTCATTGGCATGTCTTTCTTTAGGTTGGGAAAGTTTTCTTCTATGGTTATGTTGAATATGTTTTTTTCACCTTGTGGTGGGTTTCTTCACATTCTTCTATACCTATTATTTTTAGGTTTGGCCTTTTGACATAGTCCTATATTTCCTGCATGTTTTGTGTTAGGGATTTATTGGACATAAGATTTTCTTTGGTGAATGAATCTATTTCTCTTAGTGTATCTTCAACGCCTGAGATTCTCTCTTCCATCTCTTGTATTCTGTTGGTTATGCTTGCATCTGTAGTTCCTGATAGTTTACCCAGCTTTTCTATTTCCAGCATTCCCTCAGTTTGTGTTTTCTTTATTGTCTCTATTTCAGTTTTCAGGTGAACTGTTTCCTTCATCTGTTTGATTGTTTTTTTTTTCTTGGCTTTCTTTAAGAGATTTGTTGACTTCTTGTATCCTTTAGTTTGTTTTTTCTTCTATTTCTTTAAGGGGTTTCTCATATCCTCTTTGAGGGCCACTATGATTTTCATGAAGTTGTTTTTAAGGTCATTCTCTTCTGCTTTTGGGATTTTCAAATCTTGCTTGTGTAGAGTCCCTAGACTCTGGTGGTGTCATATTGTTTTGTCTGTTGTTGAATATGTTTTTATATTGTCTTCTTCCCATCTCTTCTTCTAGTGGCTGCAGGTGGAATCCTTTCCTTTCCTGGTGGGTACGGGTCCATTTTTCCCTTCTGGTCATTGCAAGCAGGTCCAATTCTCCAATGGCTCTCCTCTTCCAGTGGGTGGAAGTGGGACTAGAACTGGAACATTGGAAGACCCCTGGGTAGGCTGTTCTGCAGGGGCAGGTTCCCCTGTGCAAAGGCCCCAAGCCTCAAGAGGATCTTAGAAGTGCACTGGAAGGCAGGCTGGAAACATGCCTATCATGGGTGGAGGTGGGACTAGTTTGCTGGAAGTCTCTGGATGGGCTGGACCACAGGGATGGGTTTCCCAGTGCACAGTCCCCAGGCCTTAGGAGGCTCGGAGCAGTGCACCAGAAGGCGGGCCAGAGCCCTTAAAGAGCCCTTAAAAGACTTTAACCTAAACAAATATTGAAGTGAGTCCTATCTTGGTTTTGTGTATGACTGTTCAGCAAGCTGTGTGGCTCAGAGGCACCTCCTAAAACTGATTGGTTTCTAGGTGTGTGTGTGTGTGTGTGTGTGTGTGTGTGTGTGTGTGTGTGTGTGATTGCTGTCATATTTCTCTTTCAGCTCTGTGGTCCCCTGCTGTTTCAAATAGTTTCCCCTGAAATTTAGAAATAGTGCAAGAAGGCCAGATGTGGTGAAGCACAATTGTAATGCTTTATAAAGCTACAAAACTAGGTAGGCAGAGGCAGGTGGACCTCTGCAGGTTCCAGGCAAGCCTAGCCTAGATTGCAAGTTCCAAGCCAAATAATGAGACCCTAGTTCCAAAAGAAAGCAAGGAAGGAAGGGAGAGAAGGATGGAGGGCTCATGACTGGACTCATGAAGTTATTCACAAGAGCACCTGATTATAGACTATGTGGCCTTGGATGCATCTGTGTCCCCCCTAATATACAACCCATTATCTACTATGTAAGATTAGTATCAGCTGGAATTACAACCTAAATCTCTATTTCTTCTATTACCTAAATGATAGCACATTTAACATTGTTTAGATTTTCTCCATTCTAGCCAATGAAGGTTTTAACTCTGATTTTCCTGTTTATGTTCTTTGTAGAATAAACAGAGGTAAATTCTACCTAATGAACCTTCTGAGGAAGATGGTTTACATGAAGATACCAAACAAGTTATGGTGTTAGAAGCTACAAAAGCATTTACTTGTGTCATTACAGGAAATAAAAAAAATGTTCCATGCCACAGTGGTTACAGTGGAGACTGAATTCTTCAGAGTGAAGGTGTTTGAAAAAAACCTACAGGAAATGTTCACTCTAAAAAGATTCATTGTTTTCTTGGATTATTTTGGTAGCTATGGGTCTCTAGTGATACACAAAGCCTCCAGTGTGTCTGAGGTGACTAATATTGGAAGTATGGAAATCTTAAGGTCATTGAGTAAAGAAGGCATCCCAAATCCTAAAATCCGTGAGCTTCAGGCAATAACAAGAGAAATGCCTGTGAATGGAAAGTTTAAAATATGTGAGGTAAGCCATTAGACTATTTTGTAATTCTTCTTCTGGAAATTCATGTTAAATCCTAACTTGGCAACAGTAACATTGTCAAATTACTGAACATAAGAAACATAGGCCTTCTGTATAAGTGAAAGATGTGTAGAGTTTCCAAATCTGGTGTGTGATATCGTCTCTTTTAATATTTTTTCTCAGGTTAACACCATGAAAATTCTTTAGAAAGAGAGTCATCAATAACATTTGGCATTTTCCTGGCCATGAAGATCCATCTACCATCCTTCCCTAGTCCCAGACAGTTCAGTTTATACCTCACTTTCTTTTTAAATTTTATATCGTTGATAGCTTCCTTTCCTGTCTTACAGATAATGCAACTGTGAATAAAGAATCAAAATCCTAGCCTAGATACAGGTTAAGACAATGAGAATAAGAAACTAAACAGAAAATTCTACCCTAGAATGCAGCTATGTCCAACAAGCTGAGATTCTGACACCCATGTCTTTAAATTGTTCTCACTTCTATTCTTTACATCAAGGTCTTGATGAGGAAGTGACTTCTGCTTTAAGTAAAAAGACAAAAAGAAGTTTAGCTGACTGGAGAAATACAGTTTAATTCCTTAATTTATAACAGAAGACAACAAAAGCAAGAGCTTTGAAGAATTCTGGATTCCGGGAATATCTTTAAGTGCCAAAACCCCACAAAATAGCATGCTTAGCTGACTTAACCACATGTTTATATTCTTCCATATTCTTTTATGCATGTGTTCAGAGGTGTGTTTTTAATCAGTTTTATTGGTACTGCTTATCTATAGCTTCTTTAAATGAATATGAATATTCATGTGTCTATACAACTAATAAGTAAATTGAATGTGAACCAAAAGAGCAGAGTTAGATGATGTGGCTTTAATTTTTGAGAGCTATACAGTAGAGTGAATGAATGCACACACTGACTAAATGTGGTCCATTTAAATGAGAATTGCAATAGTCATTCTTAGGCTCTCAAGTGAGCTACAGCTTTTCTTCTCAGGTCTCCCAAATGTACTTAGGGAACCTGAAAAGGTAACCAGCTGGGTTTTTTGTTGCTTACTAATATACTTTTGTTGTGCCTTTTGTTTTTGTTCCCTTCCTTTTGCTCATTAAGAAATCTTAGCTCTTCTCATATGGTAGCACCAGTACTTAGGAAGATACTCAGTTTTTCTAGAGAAAGTTTCAAAGGAAGAATTTTCCAAAATGAATATCTTAAGCTGTTTTGTTCCTGACATTCATTTTGTTTTTAATTTTATAAACAGGGTTTCTCTGTATTTCTTTGGAAGTTGTCCTGGAACTCACTATGTAGACCAGGTTGGCCTTGAACTCACAGAGATCTGCCTGCCTCTGACTCCAACTTTAGTGCTGGGATTAAAGGCATGTGCCACCAATGCCTGGCTCCTGACATTCAATTTTTAAAATGTTTACTACATAATTGTATTTATTTTGAACTAATGAATTAATTTTTATTTAGACTGTGAGGCTTGATGAGAAGCACTAATTCCATGGTGCTCCTGTGGAGATCTGAGAACAGTTCTGAGAATAGGTTGTTTTCTAAATCATGAATACTGGGATTGAACTGAGGTTCTCAGACTTGACAACAAGCAGCCTTACCAACTGAGTCATATCACTGTCCCTTCTGCCTGCAATTCTAATCATAATATACATATTTGCTTTGACAGAGATAAGTATCTCTGAACCCACATAATTTCTCATTGAGGTGATAAATTTTGACACGTCTCAGAAGATTAATTTCTTTTGCAGAAATAAAATGGGAAAATTGTATATGTTATGGAATTAAGGATTATACAGGTCAAATGAAAGTGGCAGTATCTGGACACCTGACCAATGTCAACTGTAATATTGGTGACAAAGTTAGACTTGTCTGCTTTGAACTGACCTCAGATGTGAATGAGTGGTTTCTGAGAGCTGTGAGGTACAGTTACATGGAGGTATGTACTTTAGGGCAACAATATTCTTCCTAATAATAATTTCAGTTAATACTCTACCAAAACTTGGCTGCTGGTATTGTGTAAAAAATTCAAAAGGTGGCAGGAAAATTTAGTTTTTTCCATGTATTGAGGGTACTTTTTCTTATAATTTATAAATAAGTGTATTTTTAAATCATAGTAAAGAGAAGAAATTTGGAGAAACTCTCAAACTGTAATCCCCCAAGATAAATAATAAAATAGTTATATTTACCCAGAAAGATGTATTATTCAGTAAAAATGTGGATTAATTTTTTCAAATTCTGGCTCATTGGTTTTACAAATTGACCACAGACTCAAGGAAATTCAGGATCTTCAGCTAAAACATGGAAATGATATCCATCACAGAGGATCAAGAGCAGAACTCACAGCACACCTAAACTGGCAATGACACCCAGAACAAACTTAAGCCACAAAGGCACTAGAATCTACTCTCTTTACCAAATTGACATATCCATGCACATAGGGCATTTAGTACACTAAAATAAACTAATGTAAAGTTGGACTTGAAAACAACCAAGGCTGACTTCTTGGGTCACACAGAAATGTTATGAGATCCCTGTTATTCTAAGAATCCTCACAGTTTCCTGACTTTGTCCCCCAGCAGGTACACCAGCCATGCCTTTGTGCTCTCCTCCCATTTTCCACAGTGAGAATTTCCAAACATCTTACTTTAGGTACTACAGCTTCTTTCTCCCATTACATCATGCTACCTCCTACTTTTCTACCATGTCCATGATTGATAAGAGTGCATAGCACATGTCATGGTCTCATGTAAGAGAGAAAAGGTGAATCACAGGAGGAAAAATTCATTAAAGAAGGCAGGCAAGAGTGAGGAAAGAGAGTTGGCTCATGGAGACAAGATAGTGTGAGGAAGGGAAAAGTGTGTGACCACCTGCATAACAACTGATTAGCCTTCATCACTTTCTATTCAAAGTCATCAAGCCTAAAAAGGAAGAATAATGATGCAACCCTAATTCAATCATGGAAATTTCTAGAGTCCTCCTTATGAAAACGTGGATGCCACTCAAAATGGGGATAAGATCCAAATACAAGAAAAAAATATATACATGTTAAAATAAATACATACAGAAGCCATCTCTTAAATATAGGAAATAATACTTTTTAAATTTATTCTTTATAGATTGCTGCACCATCTACCTTTCATAGGTTGCATGTTTAAGTTTCATAATATGAAAAATAAACTCGGTATATAAAGCAATACTTCCAGCAATTAATTTCTTAGATCCGTGAGTTGCTTTAAAATAAATATTTGGTGGTCTGCTACTACCAGAATGGAGGAAGATTCCTGTCAAGCAATATTCAAATTTATGTTTTGAGTGTGATATTTACTAGAAAGGCCTTCTGTAGGAAGGAACCGGCTGTGTCATCAGAGAAATCAAACTTAATAAAAGTTAGGTAGGGACTGAAATGTGGCCTAGAATATAGCTGAAGGATGCAATTCCTTTAATTATTTTCTCTTTGTACATTCCAGTACATTACACAGTTTAGTCATTTGAAGTAACAACTCTATAAATTAAAGATTCTATGACTGCAATCTTCTATTTGCAACTATAAGGAACGTCATCTCCAATATTAGGCAAAATAATATCAGAAGAAGTCTTGAGAGTACAAAGAGGAAGTTCCAAGAATAAAGAAAAGCAATAATAGTAATAATAACAACAACAAAAACAGTAAACTACTACTCAGGACCTGAAGTGAAGGCTTTATTCATGTATTACTTTTCCCATTGCTGTGAAAAAATACCTGGAAATCAATTAAAATTAAGTAACTTTGTTTTGCTTCACAGTCTAAGTGTGAGATACTTGGCCCCATTTTGTCCTGATCAGGAGGCAGAGAATAAAGAAGGCCTGAATTTACCCAAGATCCTAAATCCCATTCAACTGGTCTACAACCTAAGAAGTTGAGGCAACTAACATGCTCATTCATTCTGTATACCACTCTAATAACATTTATTCAACACATCATGCATGTTTCTGCTTAGACTTTAAAACAAAAACAAAAAAGTTTCCTTCTTCCTGGAAATCTTGAAACTTAAACAAACTATCCTCTCTTCTAGGCATCTGTGTTAAGTTCTACTTCTCAGGTAGTACTCCATTTTTATTGTGTATGTCATTTGTATAAATTTTTATTTCACCCTGCAGTTCTATTCACACTGCAAATTTCAAAGGAATTGATCTATCCGACTCATTATCTACTTTAGTGAGTTAAGTGGTGGCTCAAGCCCCTAATATAAAAGGAGATGGTCTTCCTTAATAAAAAGAATGCAGTCTAGGACCAGGGAAGCTGGCACAGGAATGCATAGACAGTCTCTAGGAGTCCTGGTATACAATATTGCTTTACATTAAGCACACACCTTTAGCAAACTATGAGAGTCTTGTATAATACTCTACAAAGGGAATCTTGCATGGTAACATTATAGTTCTGTAACTACAGTCTCCAAGTGGATGGGATGCAAAGACGGGTGAAGGAAGAGATGAGAAACAGTGGCAGCTCTGATAAGAAGTGATGCACTAATACTGCGATGTATCTGAAGAATTTGTAACAAATACTTCTTAGTGAGTCTCAGTCAATGGTGCAAAGGGACACATGACTAAGTTAGAAAATTCTCCCCCACTTGAGTTTTATTTTTATGGTCTCATGAAAGCTGAGATATGCATGCATCTTTCTCCCCTTCTGGATGACACTGTGCTATGGTGAATATAATTCAACTTCTGGAAAATGAAAATGGTCTTTATCATCACAGACACAAAGCCTGTACCTTGAATCATTAGGTCAGATAAATCCATTCACTTAGTTTGGGGCATAATCAAACTAAAATGTAATACAGGGTATACAGCAATAGATTTTTAAAAATATTTTTATCATTTTTTGAGAAATCCATGTATTGTATTTTGATTATATCCCCCCTTCACCCTCCACAATTCCTGTTATCTAGTCCATTCTATACCCACCCTACTTTGTGTCTTCATACATTTTTTTTAAATCAATCCAATTAGTGTACCATAGACTCTTAAATGTTTGCCCATTGAGTGGGGCATAGACACCCTATCAGGTATTGCACTCTTATAGAAAACAAACTCTTCCTATTATAACAGATTTCAATTACCAATAGCACCTCAACTAGAGCTGGAATTGTTTGACTGTCTACCATTTCCATGGTGGTATTTTGTCTGACTTAAATTTGCACGGTTCTATGCAAACTGTCACAACTACTATGCGTTCACCTGTGTAATTGTCCTGTTGTGTCAGGAAAACTCTGTGCCACTATAGTTATTTCCATCTCTGGCTCTTCTAAGTTTTTGCTAGCTCTTGCAAAGATCTCTGAGTTTGGGGAGGAGGGTTTGAGATACGAATGTACCATTTAGAGCCGAGACTCCACCATCGCTTACTCTCATCACCTTGGTCACTTGTGGTTCTTTATGTTAATCATCATATCCAGCAAAAAGGAGCTTCTTTGATTAAGTTTGAGAGATATACTAACAAATGTGAAACAAGAAATTATTTGGATTGAGTTTAATACTATATCCCTTTGGAAGAGTAATATAAATAAAACCTCAGTTTAGGTCTATGAACACTCTATCCCTAGGTTTGTAGTCCTGATAATGGTGTCAGTTGGGCCTTAAATCATATAAGAAAGTATTTTGTTACTCCTATGATTTGCAGGAAACAGTTGCATGAACGGCTGTCTCTTGCTGAGCAGGTCATTACTGTTGCATGCAGAGTTCTCAAATATGTAAGACTGATAATTAACTTTCCCCATCACTAGCATGCTTTCCCTCTTCTGGCTCTATGAAAAATATCCATAATAAACAGAGCTTCTAGGTTGATGCCAGCTTGACTTCTCCATGTTGTATGTATGACTAAATTATGCTGGGTTTTTGTCAAATGGATTTTATAGCTAAGATCTAACCAGAAATGAACCTAAGCTAGGCCAAGCATTCAAAACTAATAATAAATCTCCGTGACATGGTTTAGTGGATGGTTGGTGACCTTAAAATAAAAAGCCTGGTACAAAACCCAAAACTGAGGAAAAACTGGAAATGAAAAGTTTAGGAAATGGAACAGGAACCTCAGAAGTAAGCATCACCAACAGTATATAAGAAATGGAAGAGAAAAGCTCTAGCGTTTAAGACAGAAGAAATAGATACCTTGAATATGTAAATGTTAAATCTAAAATAATCCCAACACAAAACATGCAGGAAACCATGTACACTATGAAAAGACCAAGTCTATGAATAGTAAGAATAGGAGAAGGAGAAAAAACTTAGGTCAAAGCTATAGAGAATAATTTTTTAAAGTAATAGAAGAAACTTTCCCCAGCCTAAAGAATAAGGACACCAAATATGTTAGAGCAGAAAAGAAATTCCCCTTAACACATAATTAAAATATTAAACCATAGAACAAGCAAAGCATGTTTAAAGTTGCAAGGAAAAATGGGCAAGTAATATATAAAGGCAGACCTATTAGACTAACACTTGACTTCTCAATGGAACCCCTAAAAGCCAGAAGGACCTTCATAGATGTCCAACAGACTCTAAGAAATAACAGATAACACCTCTGACTACCATTCTACCCAGAAAACTTTAAATAATGACAGACAGAGAAGATATGACTTTCCATGATAAGATCAAATTTAAGTACTATCTATCTACAAATTGAGTTCTCCAGAAAGTGTAAAAAGGAAAACTTCAACCTAAAGTGGCTAACCATACCTAAGAAAACACAAAGAATAATACAAAGAATAATTAATCTCAGACAACCAATTTAAAAAAGGATGGAAAAAAATATCAAACAGTCAAATAACAGTTATTAACAAGCATGGCTCATTGATAACTCTAACCATAAATTGTCTCGATTACCCAATAGAAAGACACAGAATAGCAGAATATATGGGAAAACAGAATACACCCTTCTGCAGGGTTCCAGAAACACACCTCAAC